TTGTCTGTAATAAGCAATTGGATGTTAATCTTATTAAACAATTTTGCATATTAAATTACTTTTCCTGCTTTCAAAATTCTTTGTATATGTTTGACTTAAAATGTGCTTCAACACTGGGTCTCCTTGAATTTCTATTAGTAAGAATTTCTTGAGCTCGCTAATAGGAATTTGTATCTTTCTTCAAATTTGGTATATTTTTCAGGTTTCTTCAAATATTTTTTCTCCTTCTGGAACTCATGCAATATGTATATTGGTATGTTTGGTCTGATGGACCCATCTTTTACTTACAGTCTAATATAATTAGAAAAGTGAACAGTATCACTTTAACCTAGCTTCAAGTTCTTTTCTCCATCTGTTCTGAACCTTTTGTAGTAACTTTTTCTATTTTTATTATAGTTACTTCTACTATTTTGGTTGTTAATATGCTACTAATTATTGTAATAATCAACATTATAATTTCTACTTGACACCTTTTTATAATTTTATTGGTATATTTCAATTTGATCATTCTCCCTACTTGCTTTAGCTCATAGTTCATAGTTTCCTTTAACTTTATATACTAAAGACCTTGTCTAGTAAGTTCAATATAATACTTCACAGGATTTCTGTTAATTTTTTATATATGAATGAGCTATACTTTGTCTCTTTGTGTATATACCTTATACATTATTTTTAATAAACTGGATATTATTATGGCACCTGTGAATCGGAATCTGCTCTCAAGTTTTGTCTCTGTTGCATGTTGTGGACTGGAACTATTTGCTTAGTGACTTTTATATTTTTAAAATTTTATTTAAAAATATATATATTTAGTTGTAGATGAACACAGAATATATTTTTATGTGGTGCTGAGGATTGAACTCAGTGCCTCACGCAAGCGAGGCAAGCGCTTTACCACTGAGCTACAGCCCCAGGCTGCTGACTTAAAACTACTTTTGTAAAAACGATTTTTTATGTGTGGTCAATGGGGTTTCTACTTCATTAGCTTAGTAGTTGTCTAGTGGTTGCACACATTTTAAGGAAGGCTGTCAAATGTGAAAACCAAAAAAAAAAAAAAAAAAGATTCTCCCCATCTTTGCAGAATGACTGTATAGTGCATTCCTTCAATATGTACCCAGCAATGCTGATTTAGACTTCACCTCCTGCTTGGGAAAGTTGTCAAGAGCAGCAAGAAGTCAAAGTTCAGCATCTTCTCAGGGTTTTGCCTTAGAAAAACACCCTGCCCTGGCAATCTATATGGTGCTCTAGAGTCCCTGGCATATGTGGGAACATTGAGAGATATTATTCTCCAAAGTATTTCATTCTGTAGCTTTTCCTCCCAGCCTTTCAACTGTCTATTGTTTGTCCCAACACAATCTTTTGCCCCAAGCAACAGTGGTTTATTCATTTACCTATCAATACTTTTAAGAAATCTTTCCCACTACAGCCGCCCCCCCCCCCCACCTTTTTTCCCTTGCAAAATTGTTTTAGTCTAGCCGCAGACTCATTTGCTAGATGATACAAGGGCAAGCTGCTAGACTATGTCTTGGGAACAAGACCAATTCTGCTTCCTTCAGAAACACAAACCTACACCAGAAATGCTGGCCACCATGTTGAAAGAAGGGACTGACTGGGGAGGAAAAAGGAGGTAGGGTAAGATAAAAGCCATTAAGGTAAACTACTGGCTCTCAGTTACCTTAAAACTTGATTTAAACATTTGCTTGAATGCTATAAACCTCTATTTTACAGACTTGTAATAAAATTGATAGTTTTTTTGGCCAGTGTTTCCATGGAGGAGTGTGTCCCTTCCTGACAATGTAATTTTTACTGATATGCTTAATTTTTAATGGAAATATACTCACATCTAAGTGATTGTGACATGATTTTCCTATTACACTCTGAAGGTGAAATGCTTTAAAAAAATTTTTAAATGACAGTGGAATGCATTGCAATTCTTCTTACACTTATACAGCACAATTTTCCATATCTCTGGTTGTACATAAAGTATGTTGATACCAATTCGTGTCTTCAGACATGTACTTTGGATAATGATGTCTATCAAATTCCACCATCCTTGCTAATCTCCTGCCCCCTCCCTTTGCCTCCCACTCCTCTGCCCTATCTAGAATTTTTCTATTCCTCCCATACTTTTTAAAAACACTATGTAACTACTTAGATTCTTGTCATATAATATAAATGTTTATACATATGATATAAATGTGTGTATTCTCAATATATAAATATATGTAAGGAATATGGAAAAACTAATAACAGATCTTTATGAATTATGAGAAATTTGTAACTTTTGGAGGCATACTTATACCATTTTTAAGTATGACTAGCAATAACACTCACCCTTTTCCCTACTATCAGAAAAAATCACTAGTTACATGATTAATCTGATGCGGTACAACTTTTCCTGGTGTATGAAAATTAACCATGTTTCAATATTTAAAACTTTATAAGCTATGTTAACTCTGCAGTACATTAAGGCTCCTAAAATCCTTTCAAATATTTTGTTCCTAATTCTTTATATGATGTGTTTGCCCATTATAGAGCTTCCTAAAATACCATATGTTAATGTCACTGATATAAAAATGTCACGGGCTGGGGTTGTGGCTCAGTGGTGGAGTGCTCACCTAGCACGCATGAGGCACTGGGTTTGAGCCTCAGCACCATGTTAAAAAAAAAAAGTTATTGTGTGTCCACCTATAACTAAAAAATAATAAGGAATGATTTTTTTTTAAAGAATAATTAAGAATAACTACTCTTTAAGTACCCTTAGGGAGGTTCTCGTAATAGAAAAGGAACACTTGCCAAGCTGTGTGGTTAAAGCAAGATCTAATTTCCCCAATTGCCATGCCCACTGAATTGTAATTGACAAGGAATATTCTTTATGCGTAAAAGAAAATTATGGTAAGCGATAAACACTATTGGGCTTACTCATGTGAATATCTAATGCAAAGAACCGTATGCCAAACAAAATGCAACAAGTTATTCATCATATGTTGTTATTAAATGAAACTCCTTTGGATGAAATTTTGTACTAGGATTTTTTTTTTCTTCAGGCAGAAAAGTATTTTTTTTTTTAAATTCTAACTGGAGTTGGATAAATATACAATCAATTTTATGAGTTTAATACAATGAATCTGCCTGTGAAGTGATACTGCAGGATGTAACATACCAGATACAAACCAATTCTAATTGTCCAGCAAAGGTAATGAACACATTAGGTATGTGATTTTGCACATAACTGCATTCTGTAAGCACACTATATATTGAGTCACTCTTGGTAGTTTTGCTTATAGCACTTACTAGAAATGATTTGTTGAGACAGATTATTTCCCTCTAGAGTAATATCACGAATGCAACAATTATCTACAGTGAAGCTAAACTATGCACTTTAGAAAGAATTTTTTATTGATGAAATTACTTCTAATGTTCAGAGGCAATTATAAAATAGAAGGTGGAAAACTTATATGGGATTAGGAAGTATTTATTACCTTGGTCATAGGGTCTGTCTGAGAATGATCTGATTGGTCATGATTTAAAACAAAAAAAAGCTTTGTAGAGAAATTAATGTGCTTTGTCAACATCATCATTTAATCAAATGCATACTAACTAGAAGATAATTTTGAGATTTAAGGGGACCAATTAAAGTAAAAAATTTGGTCTCAAATTCTTTGTATTGTCTTAAGTTCCAAGTGAACTTTTAGGACCATAAAAATATTAAGTGGCTTAAAATTATAAGCAGTTAAGAATTACAAGTCAGTTACTACCTAGGGATAAGCTTGAAACAAATAATTATTTTCATATATACTTTTCCATAAGTACCATTTCCATAATTTCCATGAATTTATTATTAATCCGTGATTAGGAACTAGGGAAATTAGTGTTTTTAATAATAAACTTGGGGAATATATGATAAGGTTAATATAGTTCTGAATTATTTTCACTGAATATTACGTTTTGAAAAGATACCTTTCATCCTGCTAGCACACATATTGCCCTGGGATATAGCTTGATGAACATGCATCAGTAGATTTTTATATCCCCCATTCTTCACTGAAATTCACAGGTACCAAAGAAGTAAACTCAGTGGAACATACCCAATTCCTGTCTGAGAGTATATAGCTAGAACTCCCAATAGACAAAATGCTCTGTGGTTAATTATTCAGCTCTTAATGAAAATTAGATAAGTTTTGACTTACTGAATAAAGAATTATTTTCCTATATCTATCTTTGAGTTGCACTACAGAGTAAAAAGTAGAGGTTTGAGAGTTTGGAAATGCTAGTTATGAGTTCAACATTTTATTTTTGGCTTTCTGCTTCCATTATTCCTATAACTCTGACAAAATTTACATTTCCTGTCTAAATTTCAAGGTTGTTGTGAAGAACAGATATAGTGTATGTGAATGTGCTTTATAAACTAAACCAGGATACAAACACAATATTACATTCCTGTGTTTGGTTTTCAAAAAAGCTTCATTGTGTTATTCACTCATCCCAGGAAAACTAACCTTTCATAAGGATTTAGGGCATGGGGCTTTGATGAAAGTTGCTTCCATAAAACAAAAGGAAAATGGCCATATTGGGTTAGGTTTGCTCTTATAAATTTGGATTCCTGGATGATCCTTGTAAAGATGAATAAATATTAATTTGTAGTTTGATTTTGCTTCCATTGTGTGATGGCTTTGAGACATGTTGACTTAGTGCATATTTGCTTTAGATTGAGAATCCATGAAGAAACTCTTTCCTAGGCTAGTTATCCAAATTGCTGGTATCATTCATCCTACACACTTTGAACTAGTTATGATTAATAAGAACCAAACACTATTTGCAACAGTGTACGTCCTTTATAACTGAAACTGCAGTAGTATAATTTTCCATACATGACATGTTTTCATGCATATGCTTTATCCCTGTACAACACTAATAATTCTTTAACATACATTCCATAGGTTTCCTTAACTAACATTGTGGTTTCCCTTACAAATGAGTGAACAGTTCTAAAACAGTTTATAGTTACATTGTCACTTATTTCAGTCCTGTGGCATACACTGAATATGCTTGAAAAACACTGTTTCTCTTGTAGATTACTAAATGCTACCATCTATTTCTATAAATTAAATTTACTAGGAAAACCCACAGTTTTAAAAAAGTATACAAGAATAAGCTAGCTTATCACAATTGACAAAGAAATGAACTCAAGAAGTACAAATATTTTAATGTCAGGAACAGTTTATCTTCGTGGTAAACATTCACTTTATGCAACTCCCACTTGGCTTCATTTAATTAAAAAGCTGAAAAAGAAAGAAAATTATTATGTACTGAACATAAGAAAAACATGATATGCTTTTTAATCCATTCTAAATTAGTACAAGTAAAAGCAACAAATGTCATGATTATATAAATCCATCTAATTGTAACTTTGCTAACAGGGGTATTTTTTGAAACTAGTTTCTGTAATGGGGTCAGGCTTATAGTGAGAACAGGGTCAGAGGTGAGAAAAGATGTGATGACCTGAATTGTGTTTATAAAAGCATCTCTCATCATTGCGCTGGATAGAACAATAGTTAAACATTTAGAATGATAATGTAGGGGAATAAAAGAAATGGACTGAAATATTTGAATTTGAATGTCCTAAAGAAAATATTGTTTTTCTTATTTATAATTCCTTACATAAACCATAGTTATTTAAACATTTGGTCTTTTGTTATTGTGGTTTGCAATTTCATTATATTGGACAGTCAAAAACAATGTACATGTAATTAAAATTGTCAATAGATTTTGATAAAACAATATTACAAACAGATGCTGGTACATATAGAACTAAAAGGAAAATGGAAATATTTTTTAATATCCCTAAGCAAAGTTTTATTTTGTAAACAAGAATTTAACTTAATAAATTATTTAAGATATCTTACAAAGTTTAAATTTTATATTTGTATCTGCCAAGATGTGGTATATTTTTTGAGTTTTCACAAATGAATAAGACACAAATAATTGTTAACTAAATATTGAAGCACAAAAGAAACTAGTGATTACTGCAGCTGAAAACCATACTGTGGAAAACTGTTCAAACTGTTTAAATTTATTATATCCTAGGCATATTGTATTGTCTTTCTGAACCTCGGTTTCCTCATTAGTGAAGGGTATGTTTGTTTTGGATGATTTCCAAAGTTCTTTCCAGTGCTAGTATTTTATGATTCTTGTATTGTGCTAAAACTAAACATATTTTAAAATATGCATTTTATTATAAGGCATAAAATATATTTATACATTATTATTTTTAAAGTACAAAAAATAGTTACATCAATATTAGTAATTACATAATTTACACTGTAGTGTTATTTATAAAGTTATACAACACAAGAAGAATAATTAGTATACATGTATTTAAGAAATTATCAAATCATGCTGATTATCAGGATGCAATCAGACACTACTTTTATTTTTCAAGATAAGTTATAACTAAAGTGCTGAAGGGGTAACCATCTCCATGAAGAATGCCAGCAATAAACCTCATTAGAACACCAAGCTTTGGTAGCTGCTTAATTCATGCCACCTTTCACAATACCGATGGCAAAAAAGATAGTAGGTATGTCACTTACAGATAAACTTGTTGGCATTTCCTTTCCTCAATTATAAGCTCACCCTGAAGATAAAGTTAATGGAAGAATGATGGCTAATGAAAAAAGAAACCATAAAGTATTTTAAAACATAGTTGGAAAAACTGGAACTAGAAATGGAGGACCTGTGGGATTTTTGATTTTTTTTTTAAAAAAAAAAAAAAATGTTCTGAAAGTTTCAAAATGTACACCAATAAAGTTAACCTTTGATTATTGTTAAAAATACACCTGCATAAAAGCAAATATAATATAACCCTTTATAATTTTATAATGCCTGAATTTTTAGAGCTAGAAAGGTCAAAGTTATGTGATATTTAGATGCTGATATATTTACAGAGTAAAAGGATCTTTACGACAACATTTTATATGAAAATAGATTAAAATCCTTACTATGCTATTTTCTCATTCTAGTTCTTCTAAACTGAAATGCTCAGTGATTACTTCTAAAACTTGCTGCAATAATTGCTGGTTTATATCTTATTATGAAATGACAAATATGTTCAATCTCCAACTGCTCATTCTATTTATTGTCCTACAACAAAGGATTAAAACTATTAAGTAGGTTTCTTTTCATAAAAATGAGGTATAAAAATCTTTCCAATATCTTGAATATATACATGTAAAGACATGAGCACAAAAGTGTCAATTTTGTTAAAATGTTAACGAATAAGAGTTCATACTTTTTAAGGTAATTGATCATTCAGGATTTCATGTTTTTATTTTTAATATATAAATATTAAATGTCAAAAATAATGCTCAATATGAATGTTTTATACTTATATCATCACTCAAGGGATTAATCTCTCATTTCTATCTAGCTGAATTTTTTCTCTTTTCACATTTACTTGTCTAATAATTTTGATGTATAATCCAAAAGCATAACAGTTTTTATTGATTTATACTCCCAACAATGCTTGCATATTTTTCTTAATGTTTATCACAAAAATGTATAAGTGCTTTTACACTGTACTTTAAAAAAAAAACTCACAAATACTAAGATGTACATAAGTCTGCATATCTATAATCACTAATGACTGTGGCCACCTTACACTGGAGTGAAAACATGCATGGGCGACTTTAACTGGGGTGGAAATATAAAATAGAAGCATGGGTAGTAAACTGTACACACTGAGCTTTGATAGCAGGGCAGAACTAGCACAAATTCTCATTTGCTCCCTTCCCTCAGCATGAAGGTTTTCAACTATCCCCTTTCCAGTCTGCATAACTTTCTTACTTAAAGTATGTGAGGGCTGCAGATGAATACCTGTATACAAAAAGATAAGGAGATGATGATCTTAAACAATTCTCTTTAAGAATGGCTCTCTCCTCATGATTCCCTCAAATATCCAGGATTTAGATAAAAATGCTGACTTGCTGAGGAATGATGTTCTAATAATTCATTACCAAGTTTGTTATTTGAAATTCAAAATAAATTTTTCTAGGAAACTTGGTTAAATTTTATCCAGACTGTAAAGTCAATTTCAATAAGCATTTAACAAAGAACTATTGATTATCAATAATGTTGAGTATTGTACACAGAAGGTATGCAGAAAATGAAAGGACTGAAAGACATAGTTCTTATGTTTTTATCTAAAGGGGATAAACCTGCTCAAATTAGTTAATGTGTTGTTGAGTCATAGGGCTACAGAATTTAAAAACAAAAGAAACAAAGCTGACATTGGAATAAGTAAAATGATGGGATAGTAAAATGAAGGGATAGTCTAGTCTAGTCTAAAGAAGTTGAATACACAAAGGTATCACAGCACGAAAATTCATTAAGTGCTATGTTTTGTATGGCTAAACAAGGAGTTAAAAGGAGTTGGTATACTTTCAGTAAAAGGAGTTGGTATACTTTCAGTAAAAGTCCAGAAAGAAAATATTTTAAATTTTCTGGACTATTGATCCTTTTAAAACTACTCAAATTGGTGTAGAATAAAAGCAGCCATGAATACTATGTGAATCTGGATGTGCTTCAAATAAAATTTCTTAAGACACTGAAATTTAAATTTCATATAATTTTCACCTATCATAGAATATTTTGTCAATGATTTAAACTATAAAATCCATTATTAGTAATGTGGGGCAAACCAAAGCAAGAATTAGTTGCTGATTCCTGAACTAAACCATAGGTTACACTGAAGGCTGTACCGTATTATAAGTGTAGATGAGCCCAAATTTAAAGTCATGTTTTATCCTCCAATATTATTGTATAGCTAGTAAAATTATACTTTGGAAATGGTTAGTGACACTGAAATATGCTCATGATACATGAAAGACATGTGATTTACAAGATTTGTGTAACAGAATCCTTCCCTAGATTTAAAGCATATGCAAGCTAAAGTGTTATTTGATAACCTGGGTGTGGGGATTGATTAATTTTATTTTCTTCCCACTTTGCTTGTCTGTAATACATTGATCCTCCCCCACCCCCTGCCACCATTCTTCCTCATCAGCTACCAATGGGTTTGGAAAAAGTAGCTACATAATTGGTACATATCTTAAAATGATAACTCTGGAATTATACTAGGATAATACCAAGGATAATGACTAAATATCAAGATATATATTAGGAAGCTAGCTGTAAATTGTAAATTAAGATGGCAGCAGTGGGACTATAAAAGTGATGAAAACCAAATCAAATGACATAATACAGGACAAGGGTATGGGATCAGTACAAAATGATTCCAAGGTCTGTATCCCATATGACCGAGAATGTCTTAGGAAAAATAAGTGGCAATACAACAGTTTTGGAGGCAGACATGACATTGATTTTGGACACAAGGTGAGCTGTTAATGTAGTATTCACATCTAGATCTCAAGTGAAAGATCAAGATTTGTCACATATTTGGGATTGAAAAGCAACCTAAAAGAAAAAAGGAAGGGATAAGAGTGTCTGGCTTTTCTTGGGTCACTGGGTGGTCATTGGAGGATATAATAAAAACACGTCGTTTTCCCTTCTGGTGAAATATCTGAACTGGGAATGTGTGTTTTGCTTTTTTTTTTTTTTTCCTTGAATTAATTACTCTGTTCCTGGTGTTTTGAAAAACCAACATGTACACAATGTTCCTGAAGGAATGCATTCTGTCCAATTGGGAAATAGTTGAATTTTCAATACACAGAATTTTCTTGGGCACTGCTCTTACCTTCTGTCTCAAACTGGGGGAAGGAATCAGGGATATCTAGTGGTTACATAAAGGCACTCTGTCTCAGAAATTACTTAGGTGGTGAAAGGAACCGCTGTTCAGATTTTGTATTCAAAAAGGGGAGCGCAGAAAGAAAGGCCTCATTTCTTCACAGGTCACTGGTTGAATTTTCACTCCTGTTTCATTGGCCTATGATTAGTGCAACTCGTAATTTTTTTTTAATCTTCACATTTATAAGTGTTAAATGGGAATGCTAGGGAGCAGTACATTAGAGCTGTTAGGCAGATCTCTTTAGTCAAAAGTCCTGGGGCTCTTTTCTCTATAATAGAAGATTCCTGAACCCAGAAAAGTCTTCAAGTCTGAAGCAAATGGTCTTTTGAAAAGGCCTACAGAAATTCAAACCTTTATTAGCAAGAAAAGAGATTTTTGAAAACAGAAACCTTTCTACAAGTAATATGGGGTAATAGCCGTCAAGCCTATTGCTAAGGCCAGTTCTCCATGCAGCTGGAAGAGGGGCACACTGGAGTT